GGGCAAGCAAACGTGGGCCTGCAGGGGCATCTAGTGGCCACCTACCCAAATTACAGACTCCCCCCATTCCACGAAGCCAGGAGCATGAACCAGGCTCGGTGGAGACACAGTGCTCTTTTTCCTTTTTTTTTTTTTTTTTCCCATTTTTAGGCTCTCCCCTACGTGGCTCTTTTAATAGTGATGTTGTTCTTCATCTACGCCGTGATCGGGATGCAGGTAAGTGATGCTAAAGAGCTCGAGTGTGCCTATCTTGTCCTGTTAGTGTTGTGGGAACTGACTTATAAATTTGTAACTAGATCAATGTGTGGTTATAAGGGCTTACAAGATTGTTTTCATGCCATAAGGTAAGATGGCAGCTAACCTTGGAAAGGAAATGTTGTCTGCCTTCGTGCTTCCAACAGGAGCATAATGCACTCCAGGAAAAAAAAAAGAAAAAAAAGAAAAGAGAAACAAACAAACAAAAAAAACCCCACTACAAACCAACACATTTAGTGGCAGAATGCATTATGCAAACAGTAAAAGGACCGTGCCTGCCCTCCACACTCTCAAAGGAATACCCAGCAGTGGTGGCAAAAGAGGTTTAGTGCCTCAGTCGTTGGTTCAAAATAGTTGTTGCAGTGGGCTTATGGGCATGCTGCACTGGAGAAACCCATTTTTTCTCTCGCATCACTTTCACACTGGTGTAACTTCCACCGAGTTGTAAAGAGCAGCTTTTGATTTACAGCCGTGAAGGTAAATATGGGATCAGACCCAATGTACTGACACTCTGCGTTTGTGCCAGTCCTTCAGGAAGCTGCATCAGTACAATGTCCTATTCAGTTTGCAAAATGAACTGGGAAGCGGCGTGAGCATCCGTCTGCGCAAGGAACTGATGTTGCACACAGACCATCGAAGAAAGCATATAGGCTTCTTGTGATATAGGCACAGCCCGTGGCAGCCTCAGCCTCGTTTGCCGTGCTGCTTTTCAAACGAAGCTTCACTTCCCACTTCGACGTTAACCAAAGATCTCAGACAAGTCAGCCATCTGGGACCAGCGACCGAAGCATAGAAAGGCATGGCATGATTGCTTCCAGAGGTCTCCAAACGTGACAGGCTTCTTGGTTTCACAATCCCAACAGAATCTGTAACAAAATTCATCTGACCTCTGCGACCTTGTTTTAATTTGTTTCCTGTTATTATAATTACATCTTTTCACAGGCTCCATCTACCCTCCCCCAGTTTGAAAAGTAAAACTCATCTTTTCTTGAGTTACCGCAAGTTACCTTGATTGCCCTCAGCAATTGCAGCTGCCATGTTGTCTACGAGGTTCATGCTGTAAACTTGCCAGTTTTGCCTTTAATACCCAACCAGCTCCAATGGCCAAGATCTCACAGGATTACCCGTGATACACAGAAATTCACTCGAGAGTATTACACTAGTGTTATGTAGCTACACAAAGCATTAGAAGTGGCTTCCAAGTACTCAGGCAGATGTGGTCTACAATGATGGGGGCACTGCCAGGGCTAGATATTTTATTCTGTAATTCTATTCCCTTTTCTGTCAGCTAGTTCTAAGTTGGCTATTTAATCTTTGGCTTACATTCAAGCCTCTGTTTTAATCATCTCAGCAGCCTGCAGATCATACATCTGTCTTTCACATTGATCTAGATTACTAGGTTGCTTGCTGCCCTCCTGTCTTCCAATGAGAAAACCAACTTTTCTCTTCTTCCCTCTTTGCCAAGAGCCCGTAGACCTGTTATCATCACTTTTTGGCCAAATGGCGTCTCAGACATTTTGTGTGCTGCTCTCTTGAACCTGCTGACACATAGAGGGCCTAAATTGATGCTGACGGATGAAGTCACTCGTATAATGACCCAGGAGACACAGACTGGAGAGGCCTCGAGAGAAGAACCTCTACCTGCAGCTCCTCATAGGAGCCTAATGTAAAGCACCCGTAGTAGCTGCCCCCAGTTCCTCATGTGTGAGGGAAGCTGCAGGGGCGAAGGGAAAATCAGACTTCCAGCATGGGAAGATCCCTTGCCTACGCTTGCCTGAAATGAAAAACATGGGTTGCCTCAGCTCAAACTGCCTCTGAGCATTTGAACTGTCCTCCCCCTCCTCCTCAGTGCAGCTGGGGTTGTCACTGCCACCCGTGGCGTGGGGGCAGCTGGGGCTGGGAAGGCTCCCACGTCCCTGCGGAAGCCCTGCCACGTACAGACCCTCCCTCCCACCTGGCACAGCCTCCTTGCCACTGTCTCTGTGCATCTCTCCGTGTCATTGTTTCTCGTGGGGTGGTAATTATCGGTGACATTTGCTTGAAAAGAAGCTCCATGTTCTCGCAGAGCAGCTCTGTTCCTGCTGCTCGTTTTGGCTACGGGATGACAGCGCTCGGTCCTTGAGATCTTTGTCACGTTGCTATCGATGGGGAATAGATAGTCCTGACTGTCTATGCTGTGCAGAGACCCTTCTGCCCAACAAAGCTGGTTAAGCTCTCAGTCCCAGTGCCCAAAAGTACCAAAGCTACGTAAGACTTTTTGAAAGAAGCCTGAAACTCTTCTGCTCGGGGGACTTCCTATCGAGGGCAGGCCCTGGAAAGGTTTGCTGATGGTTGCAAGCTTTGTGCTGTGACTGGATGAACCACAGCGAGTTGGTGCAGCACCGGTTGGCTGGGCACAGAAGGAAGCCATAAGCCATCCTCATCTGGGCAAGTCTGGTCATCATCTTCCCCCTGCTGCATTCGTCGAGGGGGCCCGAAACACCTGCTGCTGACAAGCGTGGCTACTAGAAGGGCAGGCATTTGGAGAATCTCCAGATCCAAGTCAACGTACTTTGCATTGTTTTGGGAAGAGCCAAGGCACCCCACAGGGTTGAAAGCTGAAGGCTTTGCAGCTGCTGGTCTTTTGCTATCATTTCCTCCTGGTCAAGACAGATAAGCAATGAAGGAAGGAGCCTCTTCTTCTGTGTTATCGATTGCTTTCAGCTGGACCCCGTCCCACACGCGTGCCTGATAAAATGAGGCCCCATATCACATATTCACAGTGTAGGAAATAAGGAAGGATGTCTTGTTTTAACAAAAGATGCCTCTTGTTACAAAATGAGTGCTTTTCTGGTGATAAAGCACAAGCAAGGGAAGCAACAGCAAATACGAGAGACCTGTGGAAATGATTTTTGAAGAGAAGAGCAGATTCTGTTAAATATCAGAGCGGGGTGAGGCCAAGAGCTACGGGTGACAAGAGTTTGGGGGATTTTGCAGGGCTAACCTGAAAAGACCTCTGCTTTCCGCCAGGTGTTTGGTAAAATTGCGCTGAACGATACCACCGAAATCAACCGCAACAACAACTTCCAGACCTTCCCCCAGGCAGTGCTGCTGCTTTTCAGGTGGGTGTCCAACAGCTCTGGCTTATGTCAGTCCGGGAGCGCAATTCCTCTGCTCTTGGGCACGGCTTACCTCCTTCTACCACGTCAGGCTCACGAGGTGAGTAGGAGCACGTTGTCCTTTAGCGAGGGAGCCCAGGAGTTACATCAGGTGAACCGAGCGGTCCATAAAGCCGGGTACCCTGCCAGCTGACCCTGGCCAATGCACAGCGCTGGGGAGGGAGGCAAGTCCTCCTACTCAGAAGGAAGGTAGCCAGTTTTCGGTGCTCTCAAATGTTGATATGCATTGCAAAGTCCTCCCTTCGTTCAAATCAAGCCAGCATGACCTCCAGTTTATTTTGGCAGGGAAATATTTTAGCAGGGAAAGGGACATGAACTCCCACTCATGCTTTGGCATGGCCATGCCCAGCTCAGCTTAGCACATCATCCTGCTCTAAGTGTGCCGGGGCCAGGGAGGGATGCTGAAGGGGTGGGGAGTTGGCACAAATTCAACAGTCTCTCCTCGTTTCCAAAGAGTTTTTTAATGCCATCCCTAACCATGTCACACACGTCTCGAGGACTGGCTGGTTGGAGCATGACAGCCCTGTACTCAGACTGGTAAATCCAGTCAGGAACAACACGCTGATGGCAACAAAGCCAAAAAGAGGAGCAGGGCATGGCAGTGTATGTCAAAGCCCAGCCATCAGCCTCACTCGCTCTTAATTGACCTCAGTGGCAAAATTCCCGTTAACATTCATGGGAGCAGGAAGAGGTTGTTAACGTGCCAGTCCCTCTCACATTGAAGGTCACCACCATCTTCCCTTGCTTTTTGCCGTGTCCAGGTGTGCCACCGGTGAGGCCTGGCAGGAAATCATGCTGGCGTGTCTCCCAGACAAGAAGTGTGACCCAGAGTCGGAGCCGGCCAACTCCACCGAAGCCGATCACTCCTGTGGCAGCAGCTTTGCCGTCTTCTATTTCATCAGCTTCTACATGCTCTGTGCCTTCCTGGTGAGTCTGCCCAGCAACCGAAACCTGCCCTCCGTCAAGCCGAGCCCCTGCCTCCCCAGGCATCAGCACTGCAGAGCAGAAGAATGATCTCAAAGAGGGGAAATCTCCCCATGGGGTATTTCCCAGCAGCGCCCTTTCCGTGACAACACCCCCTTAGTCACTGCCATTCCCACCTCCCTCCAGCTCTGGGGGATGCTCTGCTTCCAATCCCAATCCTTCGTGCACAGCCAAGGAGCACTCTTCCCCCCTCCCCCTCAATGAGAAAACCAAATTAGCGTGTTGTGGGCTGTGCTGAGGCTAGCAACGCCTCAGCCACACTTCCCACCTTCCCTCCTACCTTCCTTCTGGCTGCTGAGCAGGTTTTTCCTCCCCTGCCAGCAGCGATGACTGTGAGAATACACATATCCCACTTGCATCTGCTCCGTGCTGGCAATGCGGCATTGCTCAGAGCGACAGCACATGCTCTGCAGCTGGCATCAGCGCACAAAACTCTCCCAGCCAACAGCAGCAACATTTTAAAAGTTTTAGTCTTGGGCCAGAAGAAAGGACTTTTATCTCAGCCCCACTGCCTATAGAGCATAAAATCCCAGGTTCCCTCACCACTACTCCGTTCTGCTGGGTAAAGACCCAGCTAAAGAAAAAGCCAGCACACATGTCTAAGCATTCAGCAAACTTGGGCGTCATCCATTCAGTAAGGGAGAGCAAAACGTGACCAGCTGAGACTATTCCTCCTCTGGGATCTTCCCATTTAAACCAAGGGGCTGGCATGGGGGAACAGAGGACCCACCCCCAATGGCTTCCTAATGTTTTATGAGTCCACATCCAGACCTTAAACAGAGAACCCACTACTGTTACCTGCCTCATCCATCAAGTCATCTCTGTCCTTGTTTGCAGATCATCAATCTTTTTGTAGCTGTTATAATGGATAACTTTGATTACCTGACACGGGACTGGTCCATTTTAGGACCACACCACCTGGATGAGTTTAAAAGGATCTGGGCAGAGTATGACCCTGAAGCCAAGTAAGTAACCCAGCCTGGATATCAGAGCTCCTCGGGAGAACGGGCCCGTTATTTTCTGTTCTCTAGACCCAGTGCAGTAAGTGCCACGTTCCTCCTGCAGGAACACTTTTTTTCTGCAAAAATCCTAAAATACCTCCACAAGGTATTGCTGGTGAATCCGTAAGCCAGCAGTGCAAGGATGCACGCACAAAATCTCAGCATTTAGGCTGCACTCAGCCTTTAGGCTGGACATTGCTTCGCCTTCAGTCAGGGGGGGTATGAACTGTTTAGGGAGGGGCAGCAGGAGATGAGCAAAGGAGATTAGAGGGCTGGTTGATTGTCCCACGTGATTGAGATATTGAGCTGTGACTCTTCCAGTTGACTTTCTACTCGCCGTAGAGCTGCAGCGCTCAAATCTCCGTTTTGTCGTGGTGTCATGCAGGCCCATCGCAACCTGCACCTTCACATGGCTGCGTTACGTTGTCTGCAGGGCTGTTCTCATCAGCAGACTTGCAGGGATTTAAAGTTAGGCAAGAACAACTCACACGAGGGCTTAAGTGACATTCAGTGTTATATGCTCCGTTTGACACACGCTTAGGCTTACAGTGCATTCAGATCCCTGTGGCATTACAGTAGAGTTGACAATCGTACTGGCAAAGCCCCCTGCGTAATGCAAACGCTGTTTGCAGTGATCTTGGCGTAAACTAAAAGCAGATCTCTTTAGGAGACACGGTGTCAAGATTAATTTGGGCTCAGGTTCTGTAATATGTGAGGCCATGTCACATTATCGTCAGAGTGATATGGAAATTGAAACCTTTCTTCCCGGCCAGGGTGACTGTCCAGAGAGACTTTTAATATGGATAGGGGATAAGCACGGAATTCTAATGAATATACTTTTTGTTAACAAAACAGATGCTACTGTTTGTGCTTGTTTGACGGCAAGACCGCAGTGGCTGAAGCGATATAATAGATACTGCTCAGTCCAGGTGACATCCTCTTCCTTCCCACCTGTAAACAGGAAGCTCTTTTCTTCCTCTTCTCCATCCATGTCCCATGCTCGAAGCCCCATCTCTGGCTCTGGTACCTCTCCTCCCTCCACGACAGAATTTTTCTTTTGAGATGCCATTTACAGAACTTAAAAGAAACCTGACTGCTGCTGTGGAGGAAGTTCAGCGCTTTGTTTTGCACTGGCTCCAGCGACAGCCCAAAGCATAAACAAGTATCAAAAGGCAGTGGCTTGGGGCTATTTATATGGGAGGTAAAGCGCCAGGAAAAAAGAGACCCTTGGCACCTCTGTGCCTGCAACAGCCCTAAGACCAAGAGGTAGACAAGCAGCCGTAGATTTTGAGCAGGTCAGTGGTGGGGGGACAACCCCAAATTGTCCATTCCTGAGCTACAGCATTCAGAACACCGAAGTCAATTCTTGCAAGTATTGACTCAGGTGTGACTGACAGCTGGGTTTGCTGTCCTAGCAGGAATTATATGAGTGCTGGGCAACTCCTGAGGAATGCACGGAATGCAAGAGGCCCGAGAGAATACCTGCAGCTGTGCCCAGGCTGCAGGGAGCTCCGTGATGCTTCCAGCTGCATCCGCGCTCTGCAGGGCCGCCCCAGCCGGTCTCCCCGTGCTCAGGATGCGACCCCTCACTGTGCTTTCTTCTCCAGGGGACGGATCAAACACTTGGACGTGGTGACACTGCTGCGGCGGATCCAGCCCCCCCTGGGCTTCGGGAAGCTCTGCCCTCACCGGGTGGCTTGCAAAGTAAGGCTCGCTGCAGGGTGGCTCGGGGGAGGCCGGGGACCACAGCACCTTTTCCAGCACCTCCCTCCCGCTTCGCTGCCCACCGAGCCCGGCTCGAAGCATCCCTTCCCCCGGGCGCTCTGCACCGCTTCCCGCTCCCTGGCACTTCTGGGCAGCAGTGACCCAGGCAAGGGCTGGGAGGGCGAGCAGCAGGAGAGGTGGCTGGTAGTCATGGGCATCAGCACAGCACCAGCCCGCTCTCCAACTGGGAGAGCATCTGTGGCTCCCAGATACCGAATCAACCATGCACATGTCCATGTGGTATCGAACGCGCATCCCAAGGCAGGTCAGGACAGACAGAAATAACAGGGCAAGGGAAAATATCTCTGCGATTCTTTGGACGAAGCAGCGCACCGAAAAGCTGGTGGTGTCTCTCATTCTTGCTTGAATAGCCGACAGGTATTACACAGCAAGGTGAGCGTGGTGTTAAAACAGAGGGAGGGCAAGGACAGATTTTCGGTGAAAATGACTCACTCGTTTCTTTGGTTGTGAGACCCTGGCTATGAAAAAGGACTCTCTCCCATGTTTATAACCTTTATGCTTCCCCCACTTGAAGTTCTTTGTTCACCTCCTCCTAAGTCTCAGCGTTTATATGTGACGCTTGCAGTTGGTTTTTATGTCAGTCTCAGAGCAAAATACAAAGCCTGGAGCCTGTACACAGAAATATATGACTTCTGTGGCCTACTGCCAAGCCCTTTCAGCCTGCTATCTAGCAATTCTTTGTTGTCTTGGTCCAGTCCCAACTCCCCCCTCGTCTATGATTGCAGTGGTAGTGATGGGGAACGACACCCTTTCCTCCAATCTGATACTGAACCAAGCCTATTGCATGAAAGTGGCACAAAATCAACCCCTGAAAGCATAAAAGTTCAAACCAAGTCCCTGGTGTCTCTTACCTCCTGAGACAGAAGTAAGGGTGTAAGATCCGGTGACTGCTACCTCTGGCGCAGAGATATGTCTGTACCTAAAGGGGGCCTGCAGGAAACCTGGAGAGGG